TGTGTGTGTGTGTGTGTGTGTGTGTGTGTGTGTGTGTGTGTATGTTTCGAAGGGAGCAGGGCAGGAACTTGAGGCTTTTCCCTCTGCCAGCTTGCTGACATCACTCCAGTGGTGATTTATTATTTTTCCCAAGAAAACATGCTGGGCTTAATTTTAAGTCAGAAGTTAAAAATTTATAGCCTGTGGACCATTTGCAGCCTGTTGACTGCTTAATATCTACAGCCTTATTGGAATAGCCACAAGACCCAATATTAGCTGTCGGAACCTTTATAGGAAAAAAATTGTGGACCATGTTTTATTATAAAAGCTGGGTGGTATACCCTATTGTTTAATTAAATTGTCTCCCATTTAATGTTACTTATATTGAAATATGGTAGCAATCATACTTGGGTAAAAACTACTGTTTGAATTTTAACCCTACTATTCTGACTTCGACCTTCACGTACTTGCTTTGTTCATTGCACAATGGGCTTAGGGAGGATGAGTTCAAGTTCTGGGCAAGGTTACAGGCAGAACTTTCTTTTTCATTAAAGAGCCAGCCCTATGTACACTTAGTGGTTATCTCGAGCTGGCCTCGAAAACAATGCTGTTCTATCCAATTAAAAAAAAATGCACCTGGCATGGTATTGAGACTGTGGGCCTGTAAGGTCAGACAGCTAAGTTTATCTTCATTCTTCAAATGAGGCTAAAGCAAACTAGAAAGCAACATTTTATCTAGGAAGAACAGCAGAGAATTCCAAACAACAGTTTATTGTAGAATGGGGGTTTTCCTTCTCAGAACCTTTAAAATAACTACCTGCCCCTAAAGCCTCGCAGTCGTGTAGGGTCCGCTTGCGTGTGGTACTCTTGCGGCTGCCCTGGCCAGTTCAATAAATTCTTGTTTGCGTTTTTAATAAATTATCAGCCTCCGGTGGTCTTATTTTGAACCCAGGGTTCGACCCCACAACATTTGGAGGCTCCCAGCGAGATACCCAAAAGAGAGGAGAGAGGGACCCCCCAGTAGGGGCAGGAGGCTCTCCCTCCGGCAGGAGGAGAGAGGGACCCCCCCGGAAGGGGCAGGAGGCTTGTCCTCCACAGGAGGCTCTCCCTCTTCTCTGGGACCTTAGCTGGAGAAGCCGCAAGGATTTTTTGAAATCAGGGACACCGGTCTCATAAGGTAAGACACCCAGGTTATGGTTGAGATCTCAAAAAGGTAAGAGTCCTTGGAGGGCTGGACGCAGCTTAACCTCCAGGCTCTGGCTGGAGGACATGACAGTGTCCTCGGCCCGGGAGAACACTACAGTGTCCTCGGCCCCAGGTGTCCAGACGGGTTGTCTTGTGTTTTGTCATGTTTGTGTCAGGCCTATTTGTTTTGTGTTTTGGTCTCCGTCAAAATGGGTCAAGGTCTGTCAGTGTCTCTGTGTTACCCTCTACAGTGTTTTTTTGAAAAATTTCCAGGACTTCAAGAAACGGGCGGACGAATACGGCTCTGATGTTAATGCTTTTGATTTAACCACTTTTTTCCCAGGTCAACGCCAGTCTGTAGGATAATTTTCCCCTCACACTTCCTAGAGTATTAGTCTTATTTCCTTTGTCCAACATGAGTGCCATTTCTGTTTTGTTGAAACATTGTAATAGTACTTGTTTACTGAAAGGGTATAAGTACAGACGTTTGTTTGATGTTTTGTCTGTCTACTTGGGTATAATTATTTGTTCATGTAAATGTGAAAATCTATAAAAAAGAGAAAGAAAGAAACTTTTAATTTGTTTAAAGCTGAGTGCTCTGATGGCTAGCAAACCGCCCCAAGTGGCCACTGGGATTCCTTTTTTCCAGGGGTGTTTTGCTTTCTGTTAGAGGGGAATCGGCCCACCTAACAAGATTTATGTCTATATGTATTGATTTAAAGGTATAAAATTATAACAATTGTGGTACAAAAAGTTAAAAGCAGAGACCAAATTCTAAAATTAACTATTTACAAGAAGGAAGCTTGAGCTGGCAAAGTCTGCTCAGCAAGCTCAAAAAACTAAATGAATCTTATTTCTGCCACTACCTAGTCAGGATCAGTGGTGGAGGAACTGTTTGTTTCAATTGATCAATTTAAGTTTGATGTGATTAATGATTACAGTACATTGTAAAATCTTTAAAAGAAAAGGAAAATATTTTGAGGGCAGCTTGGTCCTTATGTGTGTGGGTCAACTCTTAAGTTATAGTTTTAAAATCAGTAATATTAATGGAAACACACACAGAAGAGCTTTTCAAAAAGTTCAGGGAGTCTGATTGCAGTATAGGGGTCACCAGTTCCCCCACACTACCTTAATTAGCAAGAGGCAAGCCGCAAACCGCCAGATGAAAATGCCTGCCCTGGGTGGGAGCTCCTCCTTCACCACCTAGGACCCGGGGTCTCCCTGCCTCCGCCCACCTCCAGGGGTTGTTTTGAGTATTTGGAGGCTGCTGTGGCTAGGAGAGAAATTCCTTTGTGACCCCCTGCACCCCAATGAGACCCCAAACCCCCGGGTGACTGCTTGGACACTTTTCACCGTGTTCTGTTAGGGGGCTTAAAGGCGCAGTTAGAAATTCTCCCATTCCCCTTTTTCAGGCTTATCAGAATCTGAGATCCTCATCTGTAGGAAAAATGTGGCATTTTAAATTTCAAGCGGCTAGAGACCTGGAAACAGAGTGCTGAGCCTGCTCCCTCCTCCCTCTACCTTTCCTAAATATTTTAAAATAATGAGATTTGAGGCATGGTTACACATTTTTGAAAAACACAGAAAGAAGATTTAAAGGCTAATGTAAAATAGTAAAAGTTTTTATGAAGGTTATACATATGATAAGAAAGATAAACAGGGAGAGAAGGAAACAGCAGAAGTAGAGGTCTAGAGAGGAAGAGAGACAGAAGGTAAGGCCGGAAGAGACAGAGATGGTCTGAAAGAAAGGGAGACTTAGACTCCAAGGGTTTTTTAACTTAGAGGAAGAGGACTGACAGGACTGGGGCTCCTTTCCATTAAGCCCCAAGGGTAACCTTATAAGTAGAGGGAAAACCTATTAGTTTACTGGTGGATACTGGGGCAGTCTATTCAGTCTTGACAGAGCCGATGGGACCTCTAAGAAGATATCAGTCCAGGGAGACACCACACAAACTGCCTATTTTCCTTGGACATCATAAAGGACTGTGGACCTAGGAAGGAACACGTACTGGGGGAATGCAGCTGCTGAACTAGACCAAAGAAGAACAATGGGCCTTTGAGGAGCTAAAGAAGGCTCTCATCTCAGCACCTGCCCTAGATGTCACGAAGCCCTTCCACCTCTACGTGAGTGAGGTAAGGGGCATTGCCAAAGGGGTTCTCAGACTCTAGGTCCTTGGAAGAGACCTGTTGCCTATCTATCTAAGAGACTAAACCCTGTGGCAGCAGGGTAGCCAGTGTGTCTCTGGGCAGTGGCCACCACAGCATTGTTGGTGAAGGAGGCAGATAAGCAGACTCTGGGCCAGGAGCTAGTCCTGACAACACCCCATGCCATTGAGACCCTCCTTTGAGGTACTCCAGAGAGATGGATGTCAAACACCAAAATCACCCAGTGCCAAGCTCTTCTCCTGGATCAGCCCTGCTTCGGGTTCCATAAGACACTGGCCATCAATCCTGCCAGCCTGCTTCCAGATGATGACCCAGAGGAACCCATTCATGACTGCTTAGTAGGGGTGTCGAACTCAATCAGAGAAGGGGCCAAAATCTAAAATCCAGCCTAAATCGAGGGCCGAATGGTTTACTGAACAGTCATAAACTGTCATTGTGATGGAAACGCAGCGGAGTGCAGTGATGACAGTGCGGTGCGGGCCACATTGCAAGGCCTGGCGGGACGGATTTGGCCCGCGGGCCTTGTGTTTGACACATGTGGCTTAGGGTAACAGATGCAGTACTGAAAGATGTCCTGCTGTCATCACCAGATGAGGTACTGTACACTGATGGGAGCAGTTATGTTCAGGATGGGATCTGATATACAGGGGCAGCAGTAGTCACCCTGGACCACACCATTTGGGCACAGTTCCTGAACTTTTGGCCTTAATCCAGGCCCTTTGATGGGGACACAGTGCCATCCCCTGGGAAAGAAGGTTACCAACTCCAGCCAGAAAGGACATTATTTTAGCCTTATTTGAGGCCATCTGACTCCCAAAGGCAGTTGCAATAGTGCACTGCAAAAGACATCAGAAAGGGGAGACAAAGCCAGAGGAAATAGAGCCACAGACCAAACTGCTAAAGAAGATGCCCAAAAACCAGCGGGGCCATCAAAGGACCAGATGGTTGGTGGACCCTATCAGATGATAGACTATTGGTCCCAGAGGCTCTAGGTCAGACGTTAGTTGCCCAGTTACACCAGGTTACCCACTTAGGTGTCATCAAGACTTCTAAACTTCTGTGAGGCAGATACTACCAAGCTTAAGTAAGATAATTAAAAACCTAATTGCTATAAGTACTATCTGTATACAGATAAATGCTGAGGCAGGAGGGTCTCCCTGGGAATTCAGGCCCCAGAAAAATTCCCCAGGAGAGCATTGGGAGGTAGATTTCACAGAGATTAAGCCACCAGCATTGAGGTACAAGTACATACTAGTTTTTATAGACACCTTCTCAGGTTAGGTTGAAGCATAGGACAGAAACTGCCTCTATAGTAATCAAAAAATTACTCCAGGAGATTATATCTAGATTCGGGCTGAGTAGTCATAGGATCAAATAACAGCCCAGCCTTTGTAGCAAGGTATCTCAAAGTATAGCTCAAGCCTTAGGACAGGCATGAGTGGAACTCTAAAAAGTTTAATTAAATTTGTCCTAGAAAATGGTGAAAACTGGATCAACCTCCTGCCCTTCACTGTCTTATAGGCCAGGTATACCCTCTACTGGGAGAGGTCTCTTTAACTCCCACCCCCCCCTTTTGAGATCATACATGGTAGACCTTTCTCCATCCTTCCCAGGGTCAGGGAGAAACTGAAAGCTGGAATTCATAACCATTCCCTTGTTCAAGACTTACAGGCTCTGTAGTATACCCAGAGAGCCACCTATAAGCTTGTTCCAGATGCACTGCCAGTACCCACTGTGGACCCTGTATACCCCTTCCAGCCTGGAGACTCTGTGTGGGTAAAGAAGTTCACTCCCCAAGGACTCACCCCAACCTGAAAGGGACGCTACACTGTTACCCTGAGCACGCCCACGGCTGTTGAAGTAGACGACACCCAGACCTGGCTACACCACTCCCAGCTCCTGCACAGAAAACGGCCTGAATCCTGGCAACCAGCGGCCTCACCAGTGAGATCCCCAGCCTAGGTTCCACACAGGCCAGGAGGAGACTTGATGCCTACAGGAGGGGAATTGGACTTCAGTGAGGACAGTACTGATGGGAACTGTGGTACTAGGGGTTTTGGTAACTGTAAGAACTTTTTTTTTTCTTCTAGCCAGTGAGAAAGTCCGAGGCTAAGTAAAGCTAAATGTACGAGCAGAAATTAGATCAACAAATAGACCACGAGTTAAATAACCTAGATAAATCTATAGAAAAATTAGAAGAATCGGTCAGGTCCCTAGCAGAAATAATTTCTGCAGAACAGAAGAGGCTTAAATCCGTTGTTCCTAAAGCAAGAGAGACTTTGCCTAGCTCTAGGAGAAACCTGCTGTTTCTACACCAATCATTCTGGGGTCATAAGGGAAAGCCTAAATCAATTGAGAAAGAGGCTAGCTGACAGAGAGGAAGCTCAGAAGACCGCCGGAAACTGTTATGAGAACTTGTACTCGTGGTCTCCTTGGCTCACCACCCTACTGACTGCCATAGCAGGCCCACTATTACTATTACTTATAGGCTTAATCTTTGGGCCTTATCTCATAAAATGCTTGGTTAATTTTGTACAGGATAGAATACAGGCAGTGAAACTAATGATCTTATATACTCAGTATTCTCCACTAGTAGATACTAGTAATGAATCTACCCTATATTCGCTGTATAAGACTACCCCCACTTCCGAGGCAACACCAGTTCTTTTTTTTTTTTTAATAGACTGCCTCTCTGACTCTGGCCAATCTGAGCAGGCTTTTTTTCATTTCAAAAGTCGTCTTATACACCAAAAAATATGGTAAGGTTTAGATTCATTCCCAAAAGACCAGAAGGAAATGAAATATGGTAGCAATCATACTTGGGTAAAAACTACTGTTTGAATTTTAACCCTACTATTCTGACTTCGACCTTCACGTACTTGCTTTGTTCATTGCACAATGGGCTTAGGGAGGATGAGTTCAAGTTCTGAGCAAGGTTACAGGCAGAACTTTCTTTTTCATTAAAGAGCCAGCCCTATGTACACTTAGTGGTTATCTCGAGCTGGCCTCGAAAACAATGCTGTTCTATCCAATTAAAAAAAAATGCACCTGGCATGGTATTGAGACTGTGGGCCTGTAAGGTCAGACAGCTAAGTTTATCTTCATCATTCTTCAAATGAGGCTAAAGCAAACTAGAAAGCAACATTTTATCTAGGAAGAACAGCAGAGAATTCCAAACAACAGTTTATTGTAGAATGGGGGTTTTCCTTCTCAGAACCTTTAAAATAACTACCTGCCCCTAAAGCCTCGCAGTCGTGTAGGGTCCGCCTGCATGTGGTACTCTTGCGGCTGCCCTGGCCAGTTCAATAAATTCTTGTTTGCGTTTTTAATAAATTATCAGCCTCCGGTGGTCTTATTTTGAACCCAGGGTTCTACCCCACAACAGTATATATACAAAGCTGCCTATACTTTTGTAGTTTCAGCATTCATAAATGTATGAAAAAAAAAGTTTTAAAAGGAGAAATAAAACCTTAAAAATAATGCAGCTAAAATTAACAACTTGATTTAACGTGAAGTTCTTGTTGATGAGATGAAGTTTCATGACAATGTGTTATCTAAAATATTGTCTTAAAATAAATTTACCTAATTAAAAATGTTTTTAAATTTTTGTGGACTCCTCACTATATATTGGCAGGTTGCACAAAGTTTGTGGACATGATTTGGAATATTAAATGACTTCTGGCTTTTAAGTATATGGCTTTGTACTTATTTTTTAGTTAATTTACATTATGATTATTTGAGAACAGAACTTTGTCATTTATTTCTTTTCAGCCACATGGTCTGCGATTTTTACATGTTAGATGGTCAATAAGTTAGTAATAGCTAGGAAGAATTAAATCCAATAAAAGTCCCAAAGTTTAATATGCCATTGAATTCAAGGCAGGGAACTGGAGTCTACACAGGATGTATTGTACATCAGAAGTTCTGGGGTTGAGTCTGTAGTCCATCACTTATTAACTATATTAAAATGGAAAATTCCAATTCTTTCACCTTTAAAGTAGGAATAGCAAAATTAACACATAAAGAACTTCTATTTCATACCTAAACCAAAAAAAGCTGAACAAAGTGAAAACAAACTGAGAACTCAAGAAACAGAGCAAATTTCCATTTTGAAATTCCCATAGTGACAGGTACATTCAGAGAGATACTGTACTTGAAATTTTCCTACCTGGAGCAGAAGCCTTTAGGAACATTTATATGACAATTTTGATAAACTTTTGGAGGCTGAACCAGTGTGAACTAGTGTCAGAAGAAAACATTCCTGTGGACTGCAGTCACAGGGGCTCTTCACTTTTATGGACCTTCAGAGTCTCAGAGTGAGTGTCTGAGCAAACCACCATAGAACCCTCAAAGAAGGAAGGAAAAAATAATTTCTGTGAACCACTTCTAGAATGTTTGTCCTAAAAAAATATCAGACTCCAAGGGAATGGGATCCACCAGAGAGCAATTGTGAAACCTTATTCTAATCAGGGAAGAAATAGCATCTCATTCAAGCTATTGTTAAGAAAGAGAAATAAAGTTAATAGGAGAAATATTTTATAGAAATAGGTTAAAAATGCTTTAATCACAGAAGAAATGAGAGCTACAGCCTTAGAGGAGGAACAGAACACATGTTAAAGTCACAGACTTACTAAGACAGAAAATTATAAGTATATTTCCCTTCCCCATTCCTTACCATATCTCTGCACCAACCAGCTTTCAGCATAACAACAGTGATAACATCAGTTGTAAGTACTAAGATGCAGATTATCTCTGAGAATCAGCACAAGGGAAACTGCAAGGACAAGAACAGAGACAAAGCCAAGGACAGTAGAGGAATTTGAAGTCTAAATTATAAACAGTTCAATTTCTATTCAGCTTAACAAATTCTCACATTAAAAACTTATTTTGCTCAGTTTCTATTACTCAGTACAATGTTTCTCATTTCAGCAAACAATAACAAGGCATACCAAAAGCAAAAATAAACAATCTGAAGACATAAAGCAAGCATCAGGACCAGACTCAGACATGAACCAATAGAACAATGAGGTATCATTAGATACCTAACTAGAATAATTAATATCCAGAAGCTAAAACATTAATTGCTGGCCAGGATGCAGAGCAACAGCAGGAACTCTTATTCATAGCTGACTGGTATTCAAAATGATTCATCTACTTCTGCCCAGGCCAGTGTTGTTCAGTAGATTGCTGGTACCATTCCAAGTCAGGGCACTTGCCGAGATTTCAGGCTTGATCCTCAGTAGGGAAATGGGGGAGGCTCTCTCTTATATCAGTGCTCTTCTATCTCTCTTCCTTTCCCTTCTTCTCTCTCTAAAAATTAATTGACATTATATTACTTTTATAATTTGTTCTACAATATTAATGTGGTGTTTCACATTTATTAAGTTGCTTGTGTTCAGGCATCCTTGAATCCTAGGGATAAATCCCACTCTGATCATGTTGTATGATCCTTATAATATTCTATTAAATTCAGTTATTAATGTCTCATTGAGAATTTGTATCTGTATTCATTAGGAATATTGATCTACTGTTTTCCATTTCTTTAATATCCTTATCTAGTTGAATGCTGGTCTCATAAAATGAGTTTGTGAATGTTCCCTCTGGAATTTTTTGGGAAGAATTTGAGAAGAATTTGTGTTAATTCATTTTTAAATGTTTGGTAGAATTCACCCATGGAGTCATTTGGTCCTGGATTTTTCTATGTTGGGAGTGTTTTTTAATACTGATTTAATTTCCTTCCTTGTTATTTATCTGTTCAGATTTTCATTTTCTCCCTTTGTGTGTGCGTGTGTGATTTACCAAGGATATTTTCCATTGATTTTTAGAGAGAGTAGGAGAGACAAAAAGAGAGAAACATCAATGTGAGAAAGACACATCAATTGGTTGCCTCCCACATGAGCTCTGACCAGAGCCAGGGATCAAGCCTGCAACCAAGGTAGGTGAGCAGAATTGAACCTGGGACCTTTCAGTCCACAGGCCAAAATCCACTGAGAAAAACTGGCTAGGGTGTGATTTAGACTTTATAAGTTGTATGGTTCTAAGAATGTATCCCTTTGTTTAAGGTTGTCTAATTTGTTGCCATACAATTTGTCATAGTAGTCTTTTATGATCTTTTATATATATCTGTGGTATCAGTTGTAATGTCTCCTGTTTCATTTCTGATTTTATTCAGTTGTATTCTCTGTCTTTTTCTCTCCATAAATTGAGCTAAAGATATTTTTATATTGTTTATATTCTCAAATGATCTACTCTTAGTGTAGTGATGTTTTCTATTATTATTCTTTGTGTGTGTGTGTGTGTGAGAGAGAGAGAGAGAGAGAGAGAGAGAGAGAGAGAGACCAATTGGTTGTCTCCTGTACACTCCCCAACTGGGGATCAAACATGCAACCCAAGAATGTGACATGACCAGGAATAGAACTGGCAATCGTTTGGTTTACTGGACAACACTCAACCAACTGAGCCTCCCCCCGACTCGCGTCCCCCCTTTCCTCCCCCCAAGTCAGGCTCTGCTATTCTTTTATTCTATTTTATATATTTCTGCTCTAATTTTACTTCTGCAAACTTTGAGCATAGTTTATTCTTATTTTTGTGGTTCTTTGAGGTGTAAACTTATGTTGTTTATTTGATATTTTGTTTTGTTTTTAATGTAGGGATTTATCAACATAAACTTCCTTCTTAGCCTTGCTTTTGCTGCAACCCCTCATTTTTGGTATGTTGGGTTTCCATTTTCATTTTTTTCAAGATGTTTTGATTTCCATTTTGGTTTTATCTTTGATACATTGGTATTTTGGGAGCATGTTGTTTAATTTCCACATATTTATGAATTTTGTAATTTTTTCCCCTGAAAATATATTTCTATTTTTAACATGTGTTTGCACAAGATCTTCATATAATTTTAATATTTAATATTTTTCACTTATCTTGTGATTTAACTAATGACCTATTTTGAAGAATGTTTTTATTTCTATTATGCTGGTGCTTGTTCCTCCAGCAGTTCCACCATTTGGTTGATTTGCATATTAGGCTTTTATTATATAGGACTAGTGGCCCAGTGGCCCTCAACCCGGCCTGCACCCTCTCCAATCTGGGACCCCTTGGGGGACATATGATTTGCCAGTTTAAACCAGCAGTCGGACATCTCTCTCACAATCCAGGACCATGGGCTCCTAACTGCTCACCTGCCTGCCTGATTACTCCTAACCACTTTGTCTGCTGGCTTAACTGCCTCTGCTTTGGTCCCTTAGAGCAGTGTTTTTCAACCTTTTTTGGGCAAAGGCACACTTGTTTCATGAAAAAAATTACGAGGCACACCACCATTAGAAAATGTTAAAAAATTTAACTCTGTGCCTATATTGACTATATATAAAGTAATTCTCTTGAATAGGAATCAAATAAACACAAAGAAAGTATTTTATAATTACTTTATTATGAAATATTAAGTAAACAAAATAGTGAAAAATTATAAAATTCTTGTCTTGTCTGCACCTACGGCACACCAGGCAACATCTCACGGCACACTAGTGTGTCGCGGAACAGCGGTTGAAAAACGCTGCCTTAGAGTGATCAGGCAGGCAGGCAGGTGAGCAGCTTTGTCCAGACTAGAGACCTGGTGAACGGATTCATGCACCAGTGGGGTACCTTGGCCTGGCCTGTGGGATCGGGCTGAAACCAGCTCTTTGACATCCCCTGAGGGGTCCCAGAATTGGGCTGCTAAGTCACCACAGCTTGGCAGCTCCTGCATTGAGCATCTGCCTCCTGGTGGTCATTGCACATCATAGATACTGGCTGGTTGGCCAGTCACTTAGGCTTTTATATATACAAATTGAGCTATTCTTAACACTTTTGTCTCCAACCTTTATACCAAAGTTAAATGGATAATACCCACCATGTTACAGTATTAAAATCCTCTGAATCTGATTATATACTTACTTTTAGAAGTATGTTGTATATCTCTATACATTTTTCAATTTGCTACTTATCTTTGTTTTAGCTTGAAGAACTGCTTTCAACATTTCTTTAAGGCAAGCCTAGTGGGGATGAGCTCACCAGTTTTTGTTACTAGGAAAAGTCTTACCTTACCTTCATTACTGAGGAACAACTTGGCTCGGTGCAATATGTTAGCTGAGGTGGCATTTTTCCTTTCAACACTCCCATTCTTGCTTGGCCTGTGATCTGTCTGTAGAAAAATCTGTGTTAGCTAGCTTTTTTTGTTTTTTTTGGGGGGGGGGGGGGTGTTGGGGCAGTCTTCCTTACATAAAATAATTGTTTTTCCCTTGATGCTTTTAAAATTTTGTCTTTGTCTTTAGATAGCTTTAATATAATATGTCCTGGAGAAGATGGTTTTGAATTTGAATTTTGAAGTGACTTAACTTCATGAACTTGAATGTTCATCCATAACCCCTCCCTAGGTTTGGAAGTTCTCAGCTATTATTTCTTTAAATTAATTTTCCACCTTTTTCTCCATCTCCTCTCTTTTGGTACTATAATGATGACAAATCAATTTTATTATATTAAATTATTTGTCTACTAGGGGTCTGGTAGCCCTCAGGGGCAGGAGGCAACAAAGCAATCAGGAGAAGGTGATGCCCCATCCCACTTCTGCTGCTGCCACTGCTGGCAGTGCAGGCCTCTGCTGGCCCTAGATACATGAGCCTCTAGCAGCCCTGGGTGGCTGGGTGGCCGTCATCTGAGGCTTTTCTGCACCTTGGGCAGGCCCTGGGTGGCTTGGGGGCTGAGGATACTGGGAAACTCCAGAGGCAGAAGGGACTGAGAAGACTGAGCACCACCATCTAGTGGCTGTGGACACAGCCATCTTTGAGGACAGGGCAGTCAATTAGGATATTCTCTCCTTATTGGCTGTGGGTGCCACCATCTTTGTGGCAGTGTGAGGGTCAATTAGCATATTCTCTCTTTATTAGATAGGATGTTATCTTGTGGCTCTTGAGCATTATAATAACTATTTTTTATGAATCTTTGAAGGCAATTCTATATCCCCATTCCTTTTGAGTTAGTTACTGGAAGTTTATTATGTTTCTCTGGTGGAGTTATACCCCTCCCCCCCAAGTCTTCATGATTCCTGTGGCCTTCCATTTATAAAAGGAGTTAGCTCTTCCAGATTTTATAGACTGCCTACTGTAAGTAAAAATCTTTACCTATAACTGGGATCAGAGTAGAGCATTTTATGATTCCAGGTCTAGTGGTTCAAACACAAGTGTGTGGGAGTATGGCTGCTTCATGTTCCTTTTTTTTTTGAGTTGATGTTTTTCCATAGTAATATTCTCTTTCTTTTTTTTCTTTTTCTTTTTCTTTTTTAAATATATTTTTATTGTTGATGGTATTACAGATATCTCCCATTATCTCTCTCTTACACCCCAGCCCTACTCCCACCCACCTCAGGTACTCATTACCCTATTGCCTGTGTCTATGGGCCATGCATATAAGTATATAAGTTATTTCCTTTATCTTTTCTTATCCCCTCAAACCTACATCAAAGTATATCAGTATGTTCCATGCCTCCCTGCTACAGGTCTTATTTTGTTAGTCAATTCCTTTTGTTCATTAGGTTCCACAAATAAGTGGGTCATGTGATATTTGTTTTTCTCAGTTTGGCTTATTTAATTTACTATAATATTTTCCAGGTCTCTCCATGCTATATCAAAGGGTAAGATATTCTCTTTTTTACTGCTGCATAGTATTCCATAATGTAAATATCCCACAACTTTTTTATCCACTCATCTATTGATGGGCACTTGGGTTGCTTCCAAATTTTAGCTACTGTAAATAACACTGATATGAACATAGGGATGCATATATTCTTTCTGATTTTTTTTTTTAGGACATATTCCCAAAAGTGGGATTGGTTATCTTCTTTTTATCTTGTAATTACTTACTTAGTTTTGGTTTTGTGGTTACACAAGAGCATACTTGAAACATCTTATAGATATAATAGTCTATTTTAAGCTGATAATTTAATTTAGTAGTATCAAAACCTCTACCCTTTTACAAGTATGTGGTTACTTGTTGGCTTAGGCCACTGGTGTCTACAGCATCAACAAATGAATGGTATTTGATGAGCCCAGTGGAGATATACACAGAGTTCACAAGAGCTGTTAGGGTCCATGGGTACCTTTCCAGATTCAATAGGTCCAGGCCTGCACAGGCAATGGTAGTATGTATGGAGTTGGCTATAGGGCCCAGGTGCAGGTGCCTGTGTAGTGGCAGGGGATGATTATAAACACATTCATAGTGGTGGTGACTAGAAAAACAGCAATAGCCAGGGTTAATTGTGGGAATACTCGACTGTTGGCATACGCTCTTGTGGGTGAAGGGTCTTGCTAAAATCATACTTCAGTGGAGGCGAGAGATAGGGCCTGGGACAAAGTCGTTTAGGTGTACAGATAGGGAGGCTAACTACAGGTGAGCCAGTGGTATAGGGCACTAACAGGAGATAGTGACTGACCCTATACCGTAAGCAGTTGTGGAGTCCTATCAGCTGACACGTACATCTGTAACCTGTAAACAGTCTCCCTACAGGCATGTGCATAGCCATGGAGGCCATGATGGGCAGTAAGGCTTGGCACCAGGAGGCGGGTTAGTGGTGGATGAGCTCAGTGTTGCAGTCCAATGACATGAGACAGTGCTATATCCAGAATCACAAAAGTTGTGTGGCCTTGACTACTGGTCCTAAACTGCTGGTGTTCTTTGCAGAACTGATCACTGGAACCTACAGTCATTCCCACTCCATGATTGATATTGGCAGTCCCTGCTTTTTTTGTTCAGAGCCATCTGTACTCATCTAAGGTTTACCAGTCTCTAGGTGCAGTAAAACTGAGGCGGGTAATTCAAGCAATGCTTTAAAAGGTTGGGGAAGCTGGTCACCTACTCTCCCTTCCCTGATGTGGGAAACTCTAGTTGGGGACTTCCCTCTTGGTACTGAGCAATGCTGGCCTGGATGATGAGGTGCACAGAGAATATGAAGCTATTCTTCCTTCTTCTTTCATGCAATTATTTTCAATTGTTTTGTACCATTGTGTTGCTGAAGTTTCTTAAGTGGACTCCTGAACTCTCTGAGAGATGTTTTGTTCTTGGATAGGATCTTTGTTGTGAGAATGGAGGCTGAGATTTCCTATTTCACCATCTTGCTGACATAACTCTCCCTTACTGTTATTGCTTACACAATCATGACACTCTTATCAAAACTAAGAAACTATTATAGCATTAATATTTATTTTATTTTGTTGTTTAAAATATTACAAATAGTAGTACACATTTGCTTTTTAACCCAAATTGACCTTCCTCTGGCCTCCCTTACCCTCCAGGAACATGCCCCTACTTCCCAGTGTCTTGAATCCATTGGTTATGCTTATATACATGCATACAGGTCCCTCAGTTGATCTTTTATCTACCTCCACAACCCTCCCCAGCTTTCTCGCTGTAATTTGACAGTCTGTCTGATGCTCATTTGCCTCTGTAACTATTTTTGTTCATCAGTTTATAATGTTCTTTATATTCCACAAATAAGTGAGACCATGTAGTATATTGCTTTTACTGACTGGCTTATTTCACTTAACATAATGCTCTCCAGTTCCATCCATGCTGTTGTAAATGGTAAGAATTCCTTTGTTTTTACAACAGCGTAGTATTACATTGTATAGATGTACCATAGTTTTCTAATCCACTCACATACTGATGGACATTTGGGCTGTTTCCAAATCTTAGCTACTGTAAATTGTGCTGCTATGAACTTAGAGGTGCATATATCCTTTCTGATTGGTGTTTCTGTTTTCTTGGGATATATTCCTAGAAGTGGTATTACTGGGTCAAATGGGAGTTCCATTTATATATATAATGTTTTTTTACAGAGAGGAAGGTAGAGAGATAGTTAGAAACATTGATGAGAGAGAAACATCAATCAGCTGCCTCCTGCACACCCCCCACTGGGGTTGCACCCGCAACCAAAGTACATGCCCCTGACTGGAATTGAACCTGGGACCCTTCGGTCCACAGGCTGACGCTCTATCCACTGAGCCAAATTGGTTTTGGGGGAAGTTTTATTTTTATTTTTTTGAAGAAACAACATATTGTTTTCCATAGTGGCTGCACCAGTCTGAATTCCCACCAGCAGTGAAGGAGGATTTTTTTTTTTCTCCACATCCTCTCCAGCACTTGAACTGTGTTGATTTGTTGATGCTAGACATTCTGACAGATGTGAGATGGTACCTCATTATCTCTCAGATGATTAGTGACTTTGAGCAAATTTTCACGTATCTCTTGGCTTTCTGAATGTTCTCTTTTGAAAAGTGTCTATTTAGGTCCTTTGCCCATTTTTCTATTGGATTGTTTATCTTCCTTTTGTTAAGTTGTATGAGTTCCCTATAAATTTTAGAGAATAAACCCTTATCAGAGATAACATTGGCAAATATGTTCTTTCATGCACTGGGCTTTCTTGTTTTGTTGATGGTTTGTTTTGCTGTGAAGAAGCTTTTTATTTGATGTAGTCCCATTTGTTTATTTTCTCCTTAGTTTTCATTGCCCTAGTAGTTGTATCAGTAACAATACTGCTACGAAAAATGTCTGCTATTTTGGTGCCTATGTCTTCTTCTAAGATTTTCATGATTTCTCATCTTATGTTTAAGTCCTTTATCCAAAATAAGTTTATTTTTTTGTGTATGGTGGAAGTTGGTGGTCTAGTTTCTTTTTCTTTTTTCTTTTTTTGTGTGCAAGTATCTGTCCAATTTTCCCCACATCATTTATTGAAGAGACTGTCTTGACTCATTGTACACTCCTGCCTCCTTTGTAAAATATTAATTGAGCATAATGGCTTGTATTTATTTCTGGATTTTCTATTTTGAATCACTGGTCTATATGTCTGTTCTTCTGCCAGTACTAGGCAATTTTGAGGACAGTGGCATTATAGTATACCTTGATATCTGATACTGTGATCCCTCCAACCTTGTTCTTTTTTCTCAAGATTGCTGCATATATTTGGGGTATTTTTCTTTTATTCAGATGAATTTTTGGGGTGTTTGGTTTAGGTCTTTGAATTCTGCCATTGATATTTTAATGGGGATTACACTGAATCTGTAGATTGCTTTGGGTAATTTGCACATTTTAATGATGTTGATTATACCAATCCATGAATATGGTATGTTCTTCCACTTGTTCATGCTATATCTTTTTTTCTTTTCCTTTTAGCATCCTGAAACTTTTTAGTACAGGTCCTTTATCTCCTTGGTTCAATTTATTCCTAGGTATCTCAATTTTTTTTTTTGTTGCAGTGGTAAATGGGATTGCTTTTTTGGTTTTTCTTTCTGTGAGTTCATTATTGGTGTATAAGCCACAGACTTCTGGGTGTTAATTTTGTAACCTGCTACATTGCCAAATTCATTTACCAAGTCTAGTAGTTTTTGATAGAGTCTTTGGGGTTTTTTATGTAGAGTATCATGTCATTTGTGAATAAGGACAGTTTTAATTCTTCTTTTCCAATTTAGATGGCTTTTATTTCTTCTCATCTGATCATAATGGCTAGTAATTCCAGTACTGTGTTGAACAGGAGTGGAGAGAGCGGGCATCACTGTCTTGTTCCTACTCTTGGGGAAAATGGTTTTTGTTTTTGCCCATTGAGTATGATATTGGCTGTGGGATTGTCATATATGGCTTTTATTATGTTGAGATATGATCCTTCTATTCCCACTTTCTTGAGAGTTTTTATTACAAAATGGTGTTGGATTTTTTCAAATGCTTTTTCTGCATCAATGGATATGATTATATTGTTTTTATCATTCAATTTGTTTATGTGATGTATCACATTTATTGATTTACAAATATTGTACCATCCTTGCATCTCTAGAATAAACCTCACTTGGTCATGCTGCATGATCTTTGTAATGTAATGCTAGATTTGATTTGCTAAAAATTTGTTGAGAATTTTGGCATCTGTGTTCATGGCCTATAATTCTCTTTCTTTGTGTGGTCTTTATCTGGTTTTGTGATTAAGGTAATGCTGGCTTCATAGAAAGGATTTGAAACTACTCCTTCCTCTTGAATTTTTGAATAGGCTGAGGAAGATAGGTATTATTTCTTCTTTGAATGTTTCATAAAACTCTCCATGGAGTCATCTGGTCCAGGGATTTTGTATATTGGAACTTTTTTTGATTACTGCTTCAATTTCCTCAATAGATATTAGCCTATTCAGATTTTTGGTTGAGTTTTTTTTTTTTATTTTTCTTAAAATATATTTTATTGAATTTTTTACAGAGAGGAAGGGAGAGGGATAGAGAACTAGAAACATCGATAAGAGAGAAACATCAACCAGCTGCATCCTGTACAACCCCTACCGGGGATGTGCCCGCAACCAATGTACATGCCCTTGACCGGAATCGAACCCGGGACACCTCAGTCCGCAGGCCGATGCTCTATACACTGAGCCAAACTGGATTCAGCTTTGGTTGAGTTTTAGAAGGTTGTATTTTTCTAGGAATAAGTCCATTTCTTTTAGGTTGACCAGTTTGTAGGAATAGAGTTGTTCATAGTATTTTTGTTTTTTTATGATTCTTCATATTTCTGTGGGGTCTGTTGTTATTTTGCCTCTTTTGTTTCTGATTTTGTGCATTTGGGTCCTTTCTCTTTACTTCTTGGTGAGCCTGGCAATAGGTTCACTCATCTTATTGATCCTTTCAAAGAACCACCTCTTGGTTTCATTGATCTTTTGTATTTTTTTGTCTCTATTTCATTTATTTTTGCTGTGATCTTTATTATTCCTTCCTTCTGCTCACTCTAGGTTTTTCTTGTTGCTCCTTTTCTAATTTTTTCAAGTTGCACATTTAGATGGTTTATTACACATTTATTTATTTTTTTTTAGGTAGGCCTGTAATGCTATGAACTTCCCTTTCAGTACTACTTTCACTGTGTCCCAAAGATTTTAGATTGTTGTGTTTTTATTATAATTTGTTTCCAGGATGTTTTTTTTATTTTTCTTTGATCTCTTTGGTAACTTGTTCATTGTTTAATATTATGCTATTCAGCCTCCAAGTGTTTGAATTTTTTTATTGTTTTTATTGTAGTTGATTTCTAATTTTATGCCATTGTGGACTGAGAACTTGCTTGATATGATTTCAATCTTCTTGAATTTGGAGAGGCTTTGCCTGTGTCACAACATGTAGTCTATATTTGGAAATGTCCCATGTGCACTTTAGAGAAATGGACATTCTAGTTTCGTAGTAGAATGTTTTAAAGGTATCGATTAAGTCCATCTGATCTAGTGAGTAATTTAGGATTGCTCTTTCTTTGCTAATTTTTTCTAGAGCATTTATCCAGTGATGTCAGTGGGGTATTAAAGTCTTCTACTATGATTGTATTGCTGCCAATTGCTCCCCTTATATCTTCCAGAAGTTTTGTTTATGTATTTAAGTGCTCCTGCATCAGGTCCATATATGTTTACCAGAGTTATATCCACATTGGTCTCTTTAGAATTATGAAGTAGCCTTCCTTGTCTCTTGTATAGTCTTCACTTTAAGGTCTATTTTGTCAGATATAGGTATTGCTATCCCTGCTTTTTTCATTTCCACTTTCCTGGTAGGTATTTTTCCATCCTCCACTTTCAGTCTGTGTGAGTTCCTTGTTTTGACGTTGTCTCCTGTAGAGGGCGAATATATGGGTTATGTTTTCTCATCCATTCAATCACTCATTGTCTTTTGATTGAAACATTTAATCCATTTACAGTTAATGTTATTATCAATAGGTACTTGTTCACAGCCATATGATTTATGCCTATGTGCCTTCCTCCTTTTCTATGTCTTCTTTTTATAGCATTTCCTTTAGCATTTCTTGCTTTGCTGGGTTGGTAGTAATAAACTCCTTTAGCATTTTTTTTTGTCTATGAAGCTCTGAATTGATCCTTCAATTTTTATTGATAGTCAATACTCTATCTATTTGCTAGATAGAGTATTTTTGAATTTAGCCCTTTGCTTTGCAGCACTTTGTATACTTTATTCCATTCTCTTTTAGCTTGATGTGTTGTTGTTTTTTTTTGTTGAGAAATCATTTGATAATCTAAGGGGTGATCCTTTGTAGGTAACTCCCTGTCTCTCCTTTGCAGCCTTTAATATTCTCTTTTTGTCATTAACATTTGCCATTGCAATTATGACATGTCTTGGTGTGGCTCTTTTGGGATTCATCTTGTTTGGGACTCTCTGTACTTGTGCAACTTTTTACTTTCCCATATCAGGGAAGTTTTCTGTGAAATAGATTGTTTCTTCAAGTAGATTCTCTAATTCTTGCTGCTCTTCTTATACTCTGGCACCCCTATGGTACTTTGTTTCATGTTGTCCCAAAGCCCTGTTAGGCTTTCCTCCTGCTCTTTAAATTTTTTCTCCAGTTGATGTTCAAATTGGGCTTTTTTCTCTGACCTTATTTTCTAACTCATTAATTCGGTCCTCTGCTTCTTCTAGTCTAGTGTTGAAATGTTCCATAGCATTTTTTATTATAGCTATATCACTTTTGATTTCTTCCTGAATTTTGTATAGGTTTTTAATTTTCTTGTCCATCAGGTTTATGAACTGTATGTCCATTACTTTGAATTCTTTTTCTGTCATATTGCATGCCTCAGTTTCACTTATTTCCTTTCTTGGTGATTCTTCTTTTTCTTTGCTCTGGGTATTGTTATGTTGTCTACACATTCTAACTATCACCAGAAGGCCCAATTGCCGATTTGCAGGGGCCTGAGTCATGTGCAGTGGGAGCTTTGTGCCACCCAAGTGTCATTTAAAATCTCTGACACTGAGACATGTCATTACCACATGAGGGAGCCACGCATGCCAAGAATCAGAGTCACTAGTGCTCAGTGCAGCCTCATGTGTGCACCTAGAATCAGGAATACTACATGCACTGTGCTGAATCCAAGTCCCCATAGGTGTACATGGAAAATCAGATTCCCCTAGCATGTGCCAGGAGTAAGAAAACGTGTGTGCATGTGGCAAGAATTGAATATGAAATCTTCATCAATTGGTGAAACTGTGAATTAGAATCCCAGTGTGTGTGTGCCCCAAGAATTGGAGTCACAGGCTCTTAGTGTGCATGCACTGAGAATCAGTTATCCTGTGAGTGTATGGTGAGAAACAGAGTCCCCACTTGTGCGCACTAAGAGTCAAGTCACTGGTGCTAGGTGTTGCCCCTTGCACTGAGAATCACGGTCCCTGATCTGCATGGGGGTCTGAGTTGCACAGCTGTCCTTTGTTGGCAGGAGGCCCACTCCTGCCCTACAGGAAACAGACTCCTCTGTGTGCACGATCAGAGTCAAAGTTAAGTCACACAGTTGCCTGGTGTTGGAAGAAAGCCTGATTGCACGGAGCTGGTCTGGCAGGTCCTATGCTGCTGCAGGGGGCCAGCAGGGAGGGGGATGGGCTCCATGATTCACAGTAATCTGCGACTGGGATGTCTGGGGTCTTGGTGTCTGTGGGTCTGCAGGTTTTTGTCTCAAGTGTTTGTAGGGTCCAGCTTGTGTCTGATACCATATTGGGTGGTGGTGAGGCTAGGGTGCTAGATGCAAGCAGTCCTCTAGCATTAGTATTTTTAACCAAATCCCAATCTTATTTGGATATCCCCAGATTTTTCACTAATGTACTTTACATAGTGCTTAACATGTACTATTTCTAGCTCTTCCAGTTCCTTCCTTGTCCAACATTTACATTATTCTTGCCCACAGCCTTTGCTTCTCCAACTCCTGTCCACATTTCTGTGGCTCCACCCCCACGAAAATCTTGCTATTGCTAGTCTGGTTCCTAGTGATTTTGCTGAAGAAATAGAGAATTAACAAGGAAGGAACCTAACATACTGTCAAAGAAGATATAGGAAGGGAAGATACAGTTATTAGAAACCAAGGTTATCTAGATGAAAAGAAACAAGGAAAGAAGAAGGGTAATAGGAGTCAAAGAAAAGTTATCTGAGGGGGTGCAAAATACTTCAGGGCTCATTGATTAATCAATCCTACAAAGTCAAGAACTGTATTGAATGGGATGTAATTATTCAACCATTACATTGTCTGTGAGTAAGTTCATGGAGGATACCATTCACTCTTTCAGAGGTCTATAGTACCAAATGCTAAATTCTTGTTGGCTGCCTTTCATCCTTTATCTCCCATTTATTTGGTAAATGCTTACATCATCTTTCATCAGACACAAGCCCACAACACTTTAGATAACTATTTTTTTTCTCTTTCTTTGGAGGTTTTGACTAAGGTAGGTTCATCTACAGTTAGTTTCTTACCTCTGCATTGTCCTGTTAATCAGTTCTTTAGGTTTCACTTTAAATTTACTGTATTTTTCGGACCATAAGACGCACCAGTTTTTAGAGAAGGGAAATGAAGAAAAAAAGATTCTGAAACAAATAGTGTCCTAAAATATTTTATGTGCATTAAAACCCAACATCACAGTCATAAACACATGTAATCAACCCTGTAAAGTAAACAGCAGCATTTAGAACCATTTTAGAGCCGGGCAAGCACACAGAGACCACACAGAGCCGGGCAAGTAAAAAAACTTTTTTTTTAAAGTATATGTGTAGGCTATATTTGGACCATAAGACGCAGGGACTTTTCCCCCCCACTTCTGGGGGGAAAAAAGTGCGTCTTATGGTCCAAAAAATACGGTAATCTTTCTACTTATTGAAAACACTTGATTATCATGTAAATATATAACAGCAGAAAACAGTTTCATAAACAAACAATGGGAGTGATATCAAAGTGTCTATAAACACAGATGTTTACTTTACATTCCTAGGGTTTAGTGCTGCCAAATGAAAGCTGAGAGTCTTCACAGTCTATTTGGGTGGCTGCTGGTAATTAGCATAGCTCCTAATCATTAGTGCAGTCATCCTTTTTGGGCAGTCAATATTCTTAATTTCAGATTTGAAGTGTGTGATATGCTGTTCCACCTCTGTCT